TCGTGCACAAGGTGTTCGACCGACGGGCAATGGTGGTTGATGAGATGGATTGGTGAGGCAGAGCTTCAGTGTTGTGGGGTTATGGTTGCTGATGATCGATGATGGACAAGGAAGGGATTGGGGTCCTATTTATAGGGCTAGAAGAAGTGGATGAGCTCGGGCACCGTCATCGCCATGGATGAGCTCGATCTTTGGATAGGGCTAGGGCGGCAGAGGCTGTGAGAGGGCGGCCAAGATCAATTTGAGTGGCGGGAGGCCACGTTTGAATACTTACCGGCGAAGGATTGGCTTGACCGCGTGCGAATTCGGCTGGTGACGTGTTGGCGCCAATCCAAGCGCGACGCGTGGCGGCGGCGATGGTGAAAACGGCCGACTCGGGGGTGAATGGTTTGAATTGTGAGAGGGGATACCACCGTCTATCTTCAATCCAACCGTGCGGCAAAAATTGGCGCGATTCACCCCGGGTAGAATCAAAATCGGACTCGGCGGCGGCTTTGGACGGGCGCGCACGGCGTCGAGCGGCGATTTCTTGCGGCGGTCGTCGTTCCGGCTTTGTTGTCATCAAGATTGGTACGGCGATGATGGTTTGAGGGCGTCGAATGGCTAGCGGCGCGCCAAGGCGATCGGGCACGCGCGATCGATCCCGAGACCGACGCGCGACGGCTCGGCGCACGGTGAAGTCAGACGCTAGAGAGCGCGCATAAAGGGGAGGAAGTAGCAAAGAGATCCACGGTATTTGAGTGGGATGTGGTCCCCTAGGATCAATTCTATACTTTGTGCAAGATTGGATAGGGATTGGGCTGTGTTAGTTGGGCTAGGCATTCTACCGAACACCTTGAAGGCAAAGAACAGTGTTTTTTCAGAAATTTTGAATATTTCCCTAGGAAAAGAATCAATTTAATCTATGAATTTGGAAGGGTTTCACTAGGGTTTGGAGTAAAGCAAATCCTCACTAATATTAGGGTAAGTTAAGGAAATACTCTATAGTTTGAAATTTGAGAGAATTTGCTCAAATTCACTAAGGTTTGGAATAAAGGGAATAATTAGAGTAAATTAATAGGGTTCTAAAGAAGTAATACTTGAACCAATTTAAGAATCAAATAGATTTTTAAAACACACTAATTTAATCAAAAGCCAGCATGATGCAGTCTAATTTTAGTTTAAAAATTTGAGGATGTTACATGACACCACCACCGCCGTCAGATCCGCCGCAGGAGGGAGGCGAGAGGGGTCGGAGGGAGCCGCCGCCGCCCGGTCCGTCCTCAGCCGCCACCACCGCGGCCGGATCCACCCACGGTCGCCGCCGACGCTGCTGTCGCCGGATCCATCGCGCGAGGGAGGCGAGAGAGGGGGGGAGGGGGGCGATCGGCGCTGCTGGGGAGGGGGAGAGGTGCCGCCGGGGAAGGGGAGGGGGATGGGATAGGGGAGGGGGAGAGGCGCTGCCGGAGAGGGGGAGAAGGAGCGGCGGAGGAGGAGAGGCGGCGCCGAGAGAGAGGGAGGGAAGGGAAATGTTTTTAGGGTTAGGGTTTGGATCTTTGAACTTTTATATAGGTCGTGATCAATCAGGACTGTCCATCAGATCGGACGGCTCAGCTTCTCCCGCGTTCCCAGGCTGCGCACACTATTGGGCCGCTTGTAATCTCCTCACAGAATAAGTTTACTTTATGTCCCTAAAGTTGTTCCCGAAAATGTTCTCAGGCTGCCCACATTATTGGCCGCCTCATGGGCCGCGTGTACGCACGGAATAAGTTCACTTCAGGTCTCTTAAGTTGAACTTTTTTTATTTCATTAGGAATATATTTTCTTAAAGAGCTCATATCATGTAAAACTAAACCCTAATCATCTAATATTTTTATATTTGGTATAATTTTAGTTTACCCGTTGCAATGTACGGGCATTTTTTCTAGTAGAGAGACGAGATACGGTCAAAATTAAGGATATATATGACATTAACTTATACATGTGTGTGGTCAATCTACTCTGTTCTAACGCTATATCTTTATCATATGTTTCTCTGCACCCTGATAACTTGTGCATGCATGATCGACACCTCCTTGTTTCTAGGAGGATAACGTACATGAATCAATTTAATAGTCCATCCAATTAAATATTCATCAAGACCTGTCAGAGGAGATAAACCAGTCGCTAGCTCAGCATCTTATTATTGACCACTTCAGGGTCATCTAATGCTGACGAAGTGACGATCGATGTTACGTTAATTGATGCTTATATATCTAACTTAATTTGGATGTGTCCTATATATATGTCTTCTATTCATTCAATTTCCATGTAAAATTTATGCCATGTACTTGTTTGTGTGTGGAAGTAAAATATATAAAATATTCTATTTAGTCCATCACTGTTACAAGTCCATCATTGCGAATATGCGTGAAACAGTTGTCACTTGTTTAATTAAAAAAAGAGAGTGTTTCACCCCTACCAGGTTTTGCTATTTCCTTTTGCATATTTACGCTGGCGCACCGAAAATTTCAGAACAATTTTTTTTTGAAATATGAACAAATTTTGACCAAAGTCACAAAAAATATGAAAGAACATAAAAAAATTCGGGCGAAATAATGTCGTGCAAACACTGCTTACAACTATATATATGTGCAGTTTTGGAATTAATTTGTTCCTCAACATGTCGTTAGGTAGTTGAAGCGACAGGCGACACTCTATGTGGAACGGCCTTTAAATTCACATTGACTAGGAGCCCTAGAAATAGCAGAGGTGAAATGTGCAGAGAAGCAAAACACAGCTTATATTATTGTTTGCTGCAGTATTTAGAACAATTATGAATAGTCTGCAGCGCCATATTGTGATATCCAACTATCTATAAGTGCTCAAGACCCAATATAAATAAAAGAGATGAGAAAATTGGTTTGGTGCTGCATTTAAATATCGCGGTTTTAGTTCTATATCAATTGCACCAAAGGAAACCTATTAGTTTTATTAGCACCAAAAGTTAACTACGTTAGCATTTCATCGAAACCACCCATACCTTGTACCATATTAGCTACTCCTTTGCTCCCTTCCCTTCTTCCCTATGAAGTAACATGCACCGAAGCAACGGTAGTTGAGCTCAAGGGAGGTGGTCAGAAGCTCGTCGAGCCTAAGAACACACATGCTTGAGATATTGCCGATAACTTCTCTTGAGGATGTCAAAGGTAGCGGTTAAGCTCGAGGAAGGCGCCGACAAGTTTGAGCAAGAGAAAGGGGAGGGGATCGGCAAGAGAAGAGGAATAAACAGAGTGGAGTGTTAATTGGTATTTCACATCTTGTGTTTCAAGAAACACAAAACAAAACAAACAAAATCTAATCGATCAATGTATTGGATGCATTGATGGGATGTTAAATATAAGACCAGAATTAAACCTGGATGCTAATAAAACAATGTGTTGGTGCAATATAATAGACCTAAATTATGATGTTGGAATGCTGCATAACCAATTTTTGCTAAAATTTAAAGCACAAAATATCATCCATATGGCAATGGAATTAGCTTAAAAGGGATCCATCAGCGTGGCATCTAATTAAAGGAGAATTGGCTGTGTTCATGGAAGGCTAAGAACTGGGTCGATCTAATTTCAATTAACTAATGTCAAGATAGTCAAGATTAATACTATAACACACGCCTGACCATGTGTCAGAATATGTATATTAATTGTAGAATATCGTGAGCTATATATATACGCACGTGCGTGTACATGTAATTGCTGCTTATCATGGTATATGTCAATATCTGATTCCTCTATATATGTACAGGTACAAGAACTTGACAACATTCGTAGAATTAGTTAAGTATTAACCGGTCTCTGTCTCACTGAGCAGGCAAATTTTTTATTGAAATTAACGCTAAATTAAAGAGGCAAACGAAACGAGAAATATGGGATCAAGTGCTATAGTTAGTTATTATGAGGTGCAAAAATTAATGATTCTGTGTTCTTTTGTTCATGAAACCAGATTACATTAGTATCTTTATCTCGCAAATCCTGTGACTTTAATTAATCATTCTACCCTGTTCACAGAGGACGAAGAAATATATATCCCTACTAATTAATTAGACTGGGAGGCCTGTTCTTGTTCTTTAATTTAGATAACAGATCATTTGATCTCTAAAGCCGGCCTGTATATGTTTCTCGTTTATTGATTTAGTCAGAGCATAGGACTTGGATTAGAACCAGAGAGCTTGGTCAGAAAAGATGATTAGATGAATACAAATAGTATACGATAGCAGCATTTCGACAAGAAACATTAATTAGATTAATACAAATATATGGTGGCAGTAATTGGATATGAGTGTTTGGACATGTGTTGACCCAGAATTTGATGTCTCACCAAACAGAACGAGAACAAGATATTCGATCGAATTGTCATTTGTTGGAAGCGAATTAATGGTAGGTTATGCATATGAAAACTATTTGAAATCTTCCACACCTTGATAGACTTGGCATAAAAAATATTTTCGATTCAAAAATTACATACTGGATGTGGATGATTTGCTTCATTAGAAATAAGCTCGTAATTTGTATGGGTTGTAAATTGATTTCATGTAATTTCGTAAATTTTTGTATGTTAGAATAATTTCTTGTTCAATCAATTGGAAGTGTTAATCATTGTACCATTATCAAAGGGATGAATAATGTGACTAAATTTTTAGGGGCCTGATTATGTACAAATGTTAATTAATTTGCTATTACTAAGTCATCCAATATATACGTATGTGTAAATATATACAGTCAAACATGAAGTTAGTGAATAGATAATCAGATATCCAGATATACGTTTTCCAAGAAAACATGAAAACCTGATACAACATACTTAATTAACACGTTATAGACAGCGTCTTCAAAACCATTTCAATCAGTTATGTTGGACGGTTTCACATGACTTGTTCTTGATCTGTTGCACACACAAGGTCAGACCTTGCAGGATCTCCCTCTATCGACGGCTATATAAACACATCCATCCCTTATGTCCAAAGCATCACTACACAAAACAGGAAACACAAAGCATCTGATCAGGAAAACATAATGGCTTCTTTCATTTCCTTTCTGCTTCTTGCTGCTCTTATTGGGATGGCCTCATGGCAGGCCATTGCAGCAGAACCTAGCCCTCTCCAAGACTTCTGCGTTGCCGATCTGAATTCCGCAGGTACATATATATGTACATGTGCTTAGTTTCAGAGGGAATGTTTGTTTTACTAGTACAAGCAGCACAGATGAAACTAAATGTTGATTTATATATACTGGACAGAAACAAAATGGTGTACTATTTGGTACATATTATGCTAATTAAATTACTTTTTGTGTCAGCAGTGCGTGTCAATGGATTTGCTTGCAAGAACCCAACGAACGTGAGTGCAGATGATTTCTTCAAGGCAGCCATGCTTGACAAGCCAAGAGATACGGCGGTCAATAAGGTTGGATCAAACATCACTTTGATCAACGTCATGGAGATACCAGGTCTCAACACACTTGGCATCTCAATAGTGCGCGTCGACTATGCACCCTTGGGTTTGAACCCACCGCACACTCACCCTCGTGCAACTGAGATCTTTACGGTGCTCGAAGGGACACTTTACGTTGGATTTGTCACGTCCAACCCAGACAACAAGCTCTTCTCAAAGGTGCTCAATAAGGGTGATGTGTTTGTGTTCCCTAAGGGGCTCATTCACTTTCAGTTCAACCTTGACCCCCATAAGCCCGCAATCGCTACCTCAGCAATTAGTAGCCAAAATCCTGGGATTATTACTATTGCAAATGCAGTGTTCAGATCAAACCCACCGATCTCGGATGATATTTTGGCCAAGGCATTTCAGGTGGATAAGAAGATTATAGATTTGCTCCAAGCTTAGTTCTAGAGAGCAATTGATAATTGTCCTATTCTTTGCAACACTATGGGACAATTACATGCATGGACCTGATGATCTGTGCCATATATAGTACATAGAATGAATAGGCTTTCGTGCTGATTGATGTCATTATATTTGTTAAATTTTTTATCCTAATTAATTAATAATACATGGAATACATTGGACTATGGTGTCCTTTTTCCTCGTTACTTTAAAGGAAATTCCATCGAAGTTCATGAAAAAGAAGAATATGCGATTGTCCATATGCAAGGTATTCAATTATGTACTCAGGTCTGAAGGAACATATAGTCCCCTAGTGAGTTTTGGTTGATAGATGACAAGAAAAATTAGGGGATTAATGTGCAAATTGAAGAACGATGCAGGAATTAGCCTCCATGGTGTTCAAAACGATGAAAGACACCCGTCTAAATCAAGCAAGCATAAAAAAAACTAGAAGAAAATTTATACTTGCTTGCTGGGTTATAGGAATGTCGTTGTACTATTAAGAAAGGTACGTGTCAAAGGCTCTAGTTGGTGGACCAATGCTCAATACTTTGTTTTGTTTTCTTAGTGAGAGGCACTTTGCAGTTCAATCACTTGGATTTGGGGGCTTAGTTGCTTACCGGACATTTCGGTCATCCTCCACTGTCTGCCAGACAAACTAGACCAAAGACTCCGGTAGTTGAGATCAAAGGTTCTGATAGTTTTTGTCTGGTTGTTATAACAGGTGGAGAGGATACTCTAGTCTTTGAGACAAGATTCTATAGTTTTTGAATATGTGAGTGACGACTAGTTATTTTTTGGGTGTGTGCGAGTATTTAACTCACCCATCCCCCTCTTCTGGTTGGTGGCTGTCACATATTTTAGACCTATGCTCATAGGGTTTGTCCACCTTCTCTTGGGGTTTAAGCCATTCTTCTTGAGAGAGAGAGAGAGAGAGAGAGAGAGAGAAGGGTTTGGATCTTGTGAGGCAAGGTTATGTTGAGCACTTGTGGATCGACGACTAGCCTTCTACATCATGCTTGTTACTCTGGTTGGTTTTCCTTCTAGCTAGCTAGGTATTGCATGTGAGTATTCAATCTTTGTGGGTAGCATGGGAAGGTTTGTGAATGTTCATCCTCTCCTCCGCAAGGAAAGACGCATTGAAGTGGAAAACCAAGTTGGTTGCTAAAGTTGCTTGGTAGGGCAAATGTCACGGAATCTGTTGTCCAAAGTTGGGATCGTTGTGGTCACTTGGAAACAAGGAGAACCAAGGTGGTTCCTTAGAGGCTAAAACTTTTTCCTAGTTACGTGCTTAGTAAGGGTTGGGATCGAAAAAGATATGGATCCTTGAAGTTCCTCAATGGAGATTAGGATCGCAAGATCTAAACTTTGGGAAAAGAATCGTGTCCCTGTTTCTGCTGTGCCTTCTCTATGTATTTCGCTTCCTATGTTTCGTGCTAGTTCCCTTAATTTCGCTGCTCGAACTACTCTTCCATGCTTCCTACTCGCAGGAAGAAAATAGGGACCAGAGTACCTAGTGTTAAGTGTTGGTAGGCCAACTCTACACGTGCAGAACTCACAGACCGTAGTCTCTGGTAATTAGGACAGGACACTTTGGTGACAATATTTGATATAGTTCACTAAGCAAATTTTATGAATGCACATTCACCCCCCCATGTGCGACATCAAGGTCCTTTTAGGGTGTACATATATGTACATGACGCTTAGGGGATGAAAAATGACATGTATTTCCCGCTCCACTACCCGACCCAAAGGTTTGTGGGAAAAATGAGGGAGAGAAAAATGGATACCTGGTACTATACACGTCTGATTCCGAATCTGCTAAAAAAATATAGGGTAGGATATAGGAATAGTTGTATATATCCAACAATATGTCCCGTGTTATCAAACATGTAACAAAATCTATTAGGAGTCTAATTATAAGCATGATAAAAGTTTGGTCAATTACTATTTTATAAGCTCACAAATTATATTGCACATTTGTTTCTTGATATATATATATATATATATATATATATATATATATATATATATATATATATATCATTGCATAGTCAGGGATGTACATGTATATATTAACAAGGTTGCACAATGCGCTAGGGCTAGACCTACCGTTTCACTTAATGCCAGGTATTTTATAATCCGTTGGAGACGGTTATCACCATATGGCCCTCTACTCAACATTCCACAACAGTGAGCATTGCTCTGCCTAACAACAAAAAATGGTGTCCTGATGCACTGATTTGATTTCTTGTTAGGGAAAGATGATACTATACATGATTAGTTGCTCCAACTCTTTCCACCTACTTTTGATTGTTAAGAGAAGCAATTAAAACTAACATTGTATTAAAATTAATGTTGTTAACATTCATTTGTTTTGTTATAAATATCACAGTTAATGTATGCACATCTACTATTTTTTATCAAATATATGTTCCAGCTGATCATGATGAAGACGCGAACAACGTTGCATGTGGACTAGCTCCCACACTGTTGCATGTACTTCCTATATCCATCCATTTGAACTGATGTCGTGCTTGGCTAAGAACAAAACATAAGCTATATATTTTACTAGCCATAGTTTTAATTGATTAGTGCCTTGGGGGCACAAGGTAAAGAAGCGCAACTTAACCGGTAGCATCGGTTGGCTTAATTTGGAAGATTAATATCGGCGCATTTTATGTCATTTCCATCCTTACAAATAAATCCATTAATGGCACTGACTGCATCACAGTCTCACTGATACATGCACAGATCATTAAGTCAGAAATTTATATCATCCCAAAATAATGTAGCACATACTCCCTCCGTAAAAAATTAAAGCACACTTTTCGGGGTAAACCAGACAAGAACTTATTCAGATTCATCCTAAGAGTTGATTTTTTTTCACGGAGGATGTATATATATAAGCTACACGTACTCTACCGTGAGAATAATATATAAATGTTTTAGATCACTAATTAGATAATCTCTGAAGTTTTATGTTGATGGAAAATAACAAGGGTTAGAATACGTGTCACTTAAAACTATACTACTTGTCAAGATGATGAATAAGTCCTGGAGAGGTCGGCTAGAGTCATATATATATAGCTCATATAAGCGAGATAGATATGCTTGATTGCCTGCCTGCAGAGAGAATAGATCAAATTAACACAGCTAGTAGAATGAAGAGCTAGGAGGCAGCCGATCGATTGAGTGAGCTTTTGAACTGAATTAATCAAACTACGTACCATTAGGTTGAAACTGTCGCAGGCAGCTGCAGGCAACAGATCAGCGTGTTGATTCAGCAATTAACGGATACATATGTTGCTATCAACTTTCCTTTAATTTTAATTGAGGTAAAAATATATTCCCTTTTAATTAATTAGCATGTGTCATGCCCTTGACTAGTCAGGCATCTTGCCGTCACACACACATCGATGCCTGAACTAAAAGAGACGTGTATGGATCAAAGATACGAAAGGGACTTAAAAAGTGTACGTTACAGGAACAGACACTGTCAAAATTAAGGATATGATATTACCTTTTAACGTGTTTGTGGCCTGTCAATCTACTCGGTTCTAATACTATCTTTATCACTTTTATCTAAACCTGATGACTCAGCCAGCCAAACATCAATATCATGAATATCATGGACGTTACTACACAGCTAGTGGTAGCTGTCACTCCATCTAAGAGAGATACTATCCATTTATACTTTAAATGTAATTTTCTCTTAAACTACTCATCTGATTTATGATCCGATTGCACCGTTGTGTTCGTAACAATTAAATCTTTATAACAAGATCTTACATGATTATATTTTGATGAAAAATTATAAATTACTTTTATCATATATCTAAATTACTTTTAGATTTCACTAGATTACTTCTTAGAAAAATAAAAGTAAATTCAATAAAGCCTAAAAGTAATTTACATATATTATATAAGTAACTTATAATAAAAAGAAAGTAACTTTAATGAATGCCTTTTTTCATTGGACGTGAAGTCATATTTTTATCCCTACAACAAATTTACTTCTAATGTCGTAACAAAGTTACTTCCGTTTTGTTTTAAGTTACTTTTATAATATATGTACATTATTTTTAGACTTTATTGAATTTACTTTTATACTCCCTCCGTTTTTTAATAGATGACGCCATTGATTTTTTCTCACATATTTGACCATTCGTCTTATTCTATAAATTTACGTAATATCATGCATGCAAACGATAGGCACTACCATAATGTAATTACTTAGTTGGCCATATAGTTGGCCATTCGGGCGGCCCGGCCCAGGCACGGCCGGGCTCGGGCCAAAAACTGTCGGGCCGGCACGGCCCGACCAACACACCGGGCCGTGCCGTGCCGGCCCATGGGCTGCACCACCGGCCCAGGCATGGCCCACCAGCAGTCGGGCCGGCCCGAAGGCATGGGTGGCCCATCGTGCCTTTTGAAAAATAAGTCTATTTTTCCTCCCTCCTCTTTGGGTTGTGGCATATATATATATATATATATATATATATATAAAATAAGTCTATTTTCCCTCCCTCCTCATTGGGCTGATATATATATAGCTAAAATAAGTCTAATTTACGTCCCTATTCTTTAAACTGTGACATATAATGTCTATTTTTGCTCCCTATCATTTTTTTTGTTGGGCCTGGCCGGCCGGCCCATTATACCGTGCCGGTGGAGGGGCCCAGGCACGGCTCGGCGACCGGGCCGGGCTGGCACAGGCCCGACCCCTATCGGCCCAGGCCGTGCTTGGGCCGGGCCAAATTACCGTGCTGTGGGCCGGGCCATCGGGCCTCGGGCCTTTTGGCCATCTATATTTGGCCACCCTGCTGCAGGAAGATTAACTTGAATCCATCCACTGAATCCACCTGCACCAGTTCAGAGGAACGAACCAGTCCTAGCTCAGCTTGTTATATTTGACCTGTGGATTGTAACGGTACCAAGGTAGTCCACGGAAGGCCTTTGGGCTGTGCAGCATAGGGTGGGCTAAGAGCCCTAGACCCATGCGGCTATCTTGTAAATAAAGAAAGAGAGATTCTCGGGATAAGATATAAATCTCGGGATCATGCATATCTTATATATATATATATATATATATATATATAGAGAGAGAGAGAGAGAGAGAGAGAGACATATATAGTTGCAATCAACTAGATACTTTCCTTGTAACCCTCCCAAGAGGGGGTAGGGGTCCCGAATGGGAGGATGACCACAAC